TGGTCTAGATAATGCTTGACCCTCAACGTCTCACAAACCTATGGGCCTTCACGGCCTATTACAAGGATAGCTTTACCTTTTTTACTTTTTGCAGCCTGGTCTCAGGTGTTTTGTGACATCGGTTTGTCCAGTGATTGAGGCTAGTTCTTTCTAAGGGACCCAACAGAATAGGTGTTTTACCTCACCTGAGGACGGAAACAGATCCAGTTTCCGAAACGTCGTGTTTTTTCTTAGTTATCTTAAAAACCAGGACGATGGATAAAGTCCGAAAACCCAATATCTCTGTGCACTCGTATATAGTTCACAGTTTTCCCGCAGCTAAGTGATAAACTGTGTATTCATGTTTCAGAGGAATTCGAAGAAATCATGAGACAAGCGTCTCTACCAAAAGAGGAGCCGATAGATTCACGACGGGTATGTTGGTTGCAACAGACAACATGACTGGCCAGACGATAAGTTGCAATTTTTACTATTACTCATTGGCTCGACGGTGCAAATTTATACGTTATGGATACACAGCAAAAACGCTTACATAATGTACGTATTGTACAATCACATAAACTCAATTTCTTCTGCGTCTAGTTTGTCACATTGTACTGCATAACTCTAACCTTTTGTCCTGTTCCGTAACGTGAAGCCACTGAAGTGTGAGAATGAATTGCGCATATAACCATGGTGATTCAAAGGCCACGCCATAGCTCAAGCGGTCATTCGCTGGCTTCTCACAGCGGAGGCCCGGGTTCAAACCCGGGTCTCGTCAAGTGGGATTTGTGGTGGACAATGTGGCGCTGGGGTAGGTTTTCTCCGAGTACTTTGGTTTCCCTTGCCAATCTTCATTCCATCAAATTCTCCATCATCATAATTACCCGGGGCAGGCTACAATAGGCCAATCAGTGGCCGGCGTACCGAGTGGATCCAACTGGACTCAACGCCCCACTATGCGAATTAAAAAAAAAATGTGATTCAAAATGAAAACGGAATATTTCAGTAAAACAATATTATCGATATAAGTATTTATGGCATGGCAAGATTTAATTTGGGCACTGAAATTTTACTTTTTTCAAACTCCTGTAAAGAGAGAACAAAAATAAACATAAAATTTAGCCTAGATTTTGTGGCGCCATTGGCAACTTGATGCTCGAATTTCAAACTGAAAGACAGCATCCAGGCTCACAATGCTGGTTATTTTCACCTCAGGTATGAGGTATGACACTCAGTTCTTCACGAAATTACTTGAATATTATAAATTTAGGTTTAAGTTCTCCATAGACGGTTCTATTTGGGAAGTACCAACAAAATAATGCATAACGTGAATCTGTGTAGCTTTACTCTAAGTGCGGTTCGAACTAACGTTTTTATATATTTTCTTTTCTAGTGTTTTGTTGAATGCGTCTTGACTTCAGAGAATCTGGTGAGTGTCTGCTCAATAGAACATTGCCTAGTACATAACTTCTAAATTTTCTGAATAGATGGAATGTACATTTCTCATCGCAGTATTAGCTTACGTGAAACGCGTTAGAGTGTGGTTAGCAACACAAACACAGAACTTTCATTTACATAGCTAAACACAAATTAGTGTCTCTCCCGATTACGGCCACCGTGGTTTCGCAGATTCAGAGAGTCTTGTTTTGCTCTATATCATTTATACTTGTACGAAAATTGTTTATACGAGTATATCTGCAGTGGAAATTGAAATCCTGTGCAGTAGTGTCCACTACTACTTGCCTATACGCCTTGTTCAGTTCTGATATAAAAAATTTGTCCTCTGTGTTCAGCTGAAAGAAGGTAAACTGAATGAAGACCAAGTTCTGAAATTTGCGCAAAATTCCATAATGAACGGAACAAAACCGGATGAAAGGAGGATCAGGAACAGGATTTCGGCGTGTAGATTGCAAGGTAAGTGGCGCTGTTAAGCCTGCAGAATTTTCTGTTGACATACAGTTTCCATGGTAATGGCTTGAACTTTACACCTTGCACATTACAGCTGTCACAGGGAGGTGTACGGCCGGTTACAGCGCGTGGGTTTGTGTCTTGGAATTTCTCGAGAATTATGAGGTACGTATAGAAACAAGGGCAAATATAATTAGCATAGACTTCGTCCAAGTCCCAATATTATCATCTTAATCACTACATTTGAGAAACTGGTTCTACTTATTTCATCAGATTAACAAAATAAATAGACTATTTGGGCCCTATGTAGAGATACAATGATACTCTGGAAACAGACGTTTTTCCGAAAACTAATGGTCAATAAAAAAACTAGCACAATGGACGAAAACAAAAACAAGTGTCTTAAATTTTGTGTCACATCTTCGTCGAAAAATTTTTAATTCAGTTCCCCATGATATTGCAGGCCAGGTCCATATTAACAGGGAACAACCGGCAAGGTTGTGGTATTCTACAATTTAATATTTTTGTTTTTATGTAAATGGGAAAGTCAAAATTAACATTCTGGCGCGACACAGCATTGTCCTTCAAGAAACGATATCAGAATTGAATTTCCTGTGTACAGCGGTCCAAGAATTCCGCTTCCGGTTTCCTCCTGAAGGCGTCTGGATACATTCCCTCGTAAATAATTTCTGGCCAATGGCCTGGACTTTGTCATTAAACTTCAACCGAACACAGTAAGTTGTTATTCACCTGATGAAGTAAATATATTTTTTCGTCGAAATGCAGGCTTTTGAAAAGAACTGAGGCGATGGGGGCAGTTTTGAGGTCGTGTTGCACACTCGTCAGAAAGCTACGAGCTTGGGCGCAACGTTCACAGAAGAAACTGTTGAGCAAATCAAGCGACAGAATGTCAGAGTACGTCATTAAATAAACTGACTGCATGGTACACGGTGTTCTTGAATAATTAGTAGTGATTCGTTACTACATTTATGAACATAACCTTAATATTAACATATATTTCCACCAATGTTTCATTGTAAAAAAACATTAGTAGCCTCCGCTAGGAATCTGAGTTCGCTCTTTTCTGAGCATATACGTAGTAACGTGATAGGGGTACTCCGTGTCTCTGTACAATGCAAAATCTGTGGCGTGGTGAGATGAGCGACAAGAGTTCTACGTCTGCAACAAGCAAGTACTCCACTGGAGTACAGCCACAATTCGCGATTCTTCATATCGCACTGGTCTGGATGCTCGAGCGGGCTGGCTTAGCGCTACGTCTCTGGGATCATATTCTGCAGATATTCGATTTGAATCTCGGCCAGGACATGGGCTCTCCTGAGTTCTCACTCAGTCCCTCCACGCAAATACCGGCATATAAACTCGATCAGGGCAAGGCCACTTCCTTCCGAATCCCTCTCAATTCATCATTCATCTGTGATCCCACCATTAGGCGCTACACTAAGCAGGTCCCACACAAACCGTCACCCTGCTTACACTCACGGTCTTGCTACACTCACACTGCCACAACTGTGTTTCCCGAAACGGTGGCGACCCGAGTTAGGTCCCAGGCCAGGAAATTTCAATGCCTGGTGCGTAACAAGCTACTTCGGCTGCCCCTGTCAATTCTCATTCCACCAGCTGCTCCACATTAATTAATCATCGGTCAACCAACTGACGGCGTCGTAAAATAACAAACTGAAAGAAGAACGTTGAGAGATGTCCATAAATGTTGTGCGCTCGACTCGAGCACATAGGCAAGACACTTGTGTTACTTCCATGGTGATTACTTTACAGGTGTAACTAGTACAAGCAGCGCCGGGCGGATGAGTGCGCACGTCAGAGGAGCGATTACACGGGTCCTACTGTGGCCACAGCACAGAAGACACGCATGCAGCTCTTGGAAATGCATTCTGTACGCCAGTTTATTTTAAATAAAGTGCAGGTCCCACAGAATGGAGACCTCTCTGTCTTACTGCATTAAGCCCTCCGAACTCCTCACCTTAAAACTGTACTTTCGGCGACGCTGCATGCTCCCGCGCGTTAATTTTACTGGAGAGAGTCCAACTTCGAGGCTTGCTCCGGCTTCGACTTCCCTTCAGTCTGCTCATGCAAGTGCTGAGATCGTGCATCATCATCTTAACATCCTACCCTACGTAGCCTGAGCTACAATCGTCGTTATAAAGAAGGTGCGTCATTAAGTTTATCAGCCAACTCAACCGACAGCAGGTAAAACTCCTTCGCTGTTCTCTGGCCATGCCTTCCATTTACATGCAGGTTTCAGGATTTATTTTGGTGTTCGGCCTCTATGCATGGCCTGTTCGTTTATCTGCAAACTTTAATACGCCACTGAAATCATTGAGGGGCACGCGGTAGCGTAGCTGGTTGAGGCACTATGGTATAAGCCGAAGATCACGGGGTCTATTCCAAATGAGGTGTCTGGATTTTTCAATCAAACTAATCTTTCCAGCCGCACTATGGCTCTGGGGTCAACTCAGCCTCCAACAAAAATAAGTACCAGCATTCTTCGTAGGGGTAAAGGGTGACCGGCGCGTAAGGCTGACAACCTCAACACCATCTATGAGCCGATTCTCTAGAAAATGTCGGATCCTCGACGTCTCACAACTCTGTGGGCCTCCATGGCATGTTACAGGGATAGCTTTAGTATGGCTTCCTTTTAACTGAAATCACTTCGCGCGTCTTTACCGACGTCTGCACTTGCCATGCAGTCTTTCACCAGCTCTAGAAACAGTCATTTCGAGCCTGAGTTCCTTTTCATTTCCTGCTAGGAAAATCAGAGTCTCGCACAGATCACTGTTACCCTCGTTAATTTTCAAAATACAAGCATGAGAATCAGCTGTTCATTAAAGTAAAGCACACTGGTTACCGCCTTTCCCAACTGCACTTTGCTCCTCGACCACAGTTCCGTGTTCATACGATTCTCAAATTACACGGCGAATTGTTCCCTAAATACAATTAACAGACTTATTTTGTAATGGAGATGCAGTATGTATTCGACATGATAGAAATTATTTTTAAGTGTTTTGGCAACCCTGTGTTTCAGGGTAGGTGAAATACTGAATCTTCCAAGAACCACAACAAAACCGTAGAGCTCCACTTTATCGACATCAATGAGCGAGTATGGGACAGCAACATATCGTAACCAGCGCAACTGCGCCATGTATATGATGTGTGACTTTCCTTTTATATTGTACATCCCTGAAGATAGTCTTGTAAGACCGAAAGATGTCTGGGCCTTGACAACACGTAATCAGTACGCTTAGATAGTAACTTACATCTTATATTAAGCGAAGTCTGAATTTGGGGTATTATTTTGGATATTACACATGTTCATGTGTTTTTCAAATACGTTTAAGAAACTGGCTCTGTAGATTATCAGGTACAGGGGAGGAAAGGTTCGTGTCCGGTTTGGTCCGCCTTTTCTTCCCCCCTTGGCACTACAGCCCCAGTGGGCCTAGGCCCACTTCCATGAACTTCTCCGTTCACTTCGGTGTTTCTAGATCTTACACATTCGGTAGGACCCCTTGGGCGGATGATCAGCTCGTCGCAAGGCCTCTACCTGTACACAAACACAGAAAAACGCACACACACACAAACTGAACATCCATGCCCTGAGTGGGATTCGAACCCACGATCCCGGCTTCCGAGCGAGCGAAGACAGTACATGCCTCAGACCGCTCTGCTACCGTGACCGGCCTCACTATATATATCGCGACGAAATTAATCCTATTAAGCAGAAGACAGACAAATAGTAAGCTTGAACAGAGTTCAATTGGAAATAATTTATTCCAGAATTGTGCATCAATGCGCTATTGCTGTGTGCTGTGGCTTATATATACTTAACCAAACAGTGCGACACGAAACCACGAAGACAGCGTGGGGCGTGTTCACGTCACTTCCTTTTACGAAATAGGGCACAAATTAATCTCTATATGGAAAACTGAAGTAACAACACGCTAATAGCTTAAACACTGCAACACACCAGTTCCCATATTCACACCTTCTCTGTGTATGACAACTGCTCACAACAGAAGTTACAGAAGTTTACAAGGAATATTTTATTCCGCTAAATTACGGTGACTTCTATATGCATCACCTACTTTAACATAATAAAACTCTGCATTCTGTTCACATAGTGTATTTTTGTGTTCCGTACGGTTCTCATGATAAATGCCTATTATTTCCTTTAAACAGCATTAACCTGTCGTTTTTGTAATGGAGAGCTGTAAACTGCATTTCAGAATAATATGCAGTGAATTTTAGACTAAAAGTAAAGCTACCTCTGTAACAGGTTGTGGAGGCCCACTGGGTTGTGAGACACTCATTTCTGCTACAAGCTGTCGACCCCAGGGTCACAGTGCGACTAGAAGGAATTGAGAAATCGAATGACCTCATTGGTATCGAAACCGCGGCCTTCTGTCTTGTAGTATAGTGCCCCAAGCAACTATGCCACAGCGTGTCCCTTAACTTCAGACTACCTGGCGCTAAAGCCCTTAGTTTTGGTAGTGGTTGCGGTTCGTGTGTTGAGGCAGATGCACACTATAAGAGAAAAAAATGGGGAGAGAATAGATGGAAATTTCTTTCAGAACTCCACAGAGAAATGTGAAGCCATACGAAATTCAAACGCACATAGTGCTCACACCTCCACAGCTCATGCAGTCCGACTGCAGGACACGAGACCTCTGGAATTAAATTGTATGAAAACACTTAAACAAGGGAAGCGCATGAATTGAGGTTTTCACCCTGGTGTCATATAATGAATGCTACATAGTCTGCTGAAAGCCAACCGAATTTCCGAAGGAACATATCTGGCACGGTTTATATGACCCCTAAGATAGAGTCGACATGTTCCTCCTAAACGTCTGTTGACTTTCAAAGGACTAGGTCTCGTTATATCCCAGAAGATAGTAATCTTCGAGCTAAGCGTGAACACCACAACAAGCCGGCCCTATGCCTGTACACGTGACAGTAATCACATCCACTGGAACATGCAGATATCTGCTGCAGGAACTTCTTCACTTCAGTTCATTTGCTAAACTGTAAGTGGCAGGTCTGACACAGTGAGTGAGAAAGAATTCGTAAGTTTCTGTAACAACCTTTCTTGTTTAGAATTTGAAACGGTGTTGCTCAAAATATGAATTACTTAAATATTATATTTAAGCATCCTGTTGCACTCTACACGATAAATGATACAAACTCCGTCCAAAGTGCAAACAATATATTATATGTCCTTGATCTTGCTCTCCTTTACACTACATGTTTCGGCCTCAAACGGCCATCATCAGGTGTATACACTCACTTTGCTGTGTTCTAAATGTTAAATTTTAAACTGGGTGCAGTGTGACNCCAGCGCCATTAAGTCGAGTCTCACATAGAGAATCAAAAATCTATTAACACTTTAATGACCGAATTTCTTTTAAAAATGTGTACGAATTATCTACCAATAGATTGACATCAGCAGCGTGGAGCAGAAGTTCATGTGTCTCGTTACTTTTCAATCGTAGCTGTTACTCTCGGATCTTTCTGTGTACTCTAAGGAAAGTTGAAATCAGTGACGATAAAGCATTTCCACGTTTCTGACCCTTCTGAATAGGAAAGGGGCCGGACAAATGTTTATCTATATGGACTTCAATACAGGTTTCATCTGAGTAGAACTAAACAAGATACAATAGAATGAAATACGGACAGGAACAAAAAATGTGCACCAGCCGGCAACACACACTGCGCACGAAAGTAAACTATATTTCAGAATTCGAAACTGAATTATTAAAAAAGGGGAAAATGTTACGATGATGTATAAAGTACATAATTTTCACTAAAACAATTTTAAAGCACCTGATGACGGACGTGTAGGCCGAAACGTGTTGTGATAGTAAGACACATAATTGACCGCGCCATAACTCAAGCGGTTAGTCGCTGGCTTCCCACCGTGACGGCCCGGGTTCGATCCCGGGGGTCTGGTGAAGTGGGATTTGTGGTGAACGAAGTGGCGCTGGGACAGGTTTTCTCCGAGTACTTCTGTTTCCCCAGCCAATGTTCCCCAGGGGAAAGAGCCCCCGGTACAAATTTGATAGGAGGCTGTGTGGGCCCCAGAACCAGTTTGGACGACGTGGAGAAAATTCTTGACCCTACCGGGCTCGAAATCCGATCCCTCCGTCAAGCCCATAGCCAGTCGCTATACCGACTGAGCTATCCCGGCTCCTTACATCATGTGAGGACCCTACATTAATCCTTTCACTGACGCAATCACATCAAGTTCTATCCGTTGCTGTTCTCATACAATTATCTAGATATTTGCAAGGAACATAGGACTGCCTCCCAGCTAACTTCCACTGTTTGAACAGGTGTGAAAACTCAGACTCACAAAGAACACGCAACAGCAGTGTGTTGGCGCTCGTGCAACGGGAAATGGAAACAGGCATTTCCGGTGGCAGTCATGGAAGGTGTCGCCTCGTGCCCCAGAGTTTGCGTGTCTGCCATGATATTATTCCTGACAGAAAATTAGAAAGCATAAATTTGGGATGGCCTTTCTACCAAGTTCCGTAAAAGTATTTCAACTGATTCAAAAAGTGAAAAGACACATACACAGAGAGAGAGAGCATGGTGATCCTATAACCGCATTATCTTTCCCTGAGGAGGGAAAGTAGGTTAGAAATACAAAGAGAATTTGCGGACTGGCAAAATCTAGATGGAAGGTTGCAGCGTCCTTGGGATTCTGTACTGGGAAACACAGCGCTAGATGCATTTAGCTACTGATTGGTCCTTAACTTAATTAACGACGCCTGAAAACTTTCTGGGCTCAAGTGACATGAGAAGATTAAGATTGCGGTTCTCTAGCATGTGACGCTGTGTAATTTTGTTGATAAATACCAACGTTTCGGGGCAGAGAATTTGGAAGCAGCAGATTCCTCCGAAACGTTGGTACCTCTCTAATAAACTAAACGGTGCCACATCCCAGAAGACATAAGCTTAGCACTAATTCACGTTAGAATCGCATGTTTCATACTGACATTAGATCATGATTGTATAAAGCAAAGGTTACATTATTTAGAAGGCTTGGTGAACAGAATGCTGATAACTTGAATCAGCAAGGCTCAAAAGACTGCTGGTACCCTGAATCAACACGGCTGCAAATATTGCTGATAACGTGAATCAGCAAAGTTGAACAGAATGCTGCTATCTTGTATCAGCAAGGCTGGAACACCCTCCAAAAGGTTTAAAATCAATTGGACGTACTTATAAAGGGACTGAGATGGAGGGTTGGTTTGTTCATACCTATTTAATGACACAGTATCAACTGCTAAGCTTATTCGACATCGACTGAGAAGCCTCAAGTATGCGTTCGTGGTTTATATCAGCGAGCTATTCCGGAAGTCATCAGGAAAGACTGACGTCATCTGAGCAAAGCGCAGTACAATCTGCGCTGTGTTCCATTGGAGGCTCAAATGAAGCACCTTTAAAAAAAACAGAGTTCTTGCCGCTGAGCCTATGAACTCTGTACTTCTGTACCCTCCCGTGCTCACGAGCAAGGAACCAAGTGAAGACGCACAGGGCCCCACTACAAGTGGCTCGGTTTAAACACAGTCTCATGTTACGTAAAGCCGCTCAGGCAGGAAGTTCGTACAGACGGACAGACACTTGTGACACGCCTGTGTTTATAACTGATCACGTTACATTACATTACCGCAAATATCCGGGAAACTTGGTACGTTACAGATCTGTTATGTAACCGGATGGAATGAGTTATATATCTCCCATCCGACATTCGATACTGTAACCCATCACCGCATAATATTCCTTATCTCGAACGAAACACATTTAGTTCTGATGACGTCATCATTTGACATTGATCAACGAGTCCTGGGCTCCGTAAGACAATGTCCATTAACTTGTGGTCTGCGGGCTCCTCTCGGTCTGTGAATGATGGGAGTACTCCTGGGACTTCGCGTTCACACGGCGGTCTGGCTGATTGTAACGATTTATACTTCGGGGAGAACCCGACGTTTCGGGTGAACATAAAGCCTCCATCTTCAGCGTCAAAGAATAAGGCCAAGCAAGAAACTAGCAACAGGAGGCAGCAATTTTAGCTTGGTTTGTCCTTCGGCTCTGAAGTGCAGGCGACATGTTCCTCCGAAACGTCTAGATCTGTTTGAACTAAACGGCGTTTCGGCGCTTTCGCATATCGAATTTGCACAACTGCGCTTAGAGTTTCGCCATGTCTGTCTGTCGAGGAGCTTCAACATTTCTTGACACGTTACAATTTTGCTTAGAATCATAAAACATTAAAGGACACTTCTCATTGTGACAGGACGTGTTTACGCGGGCATCTGAAGCAGGTTTGTAACAAAAGCTGTATAGAAAAGTGAGACATGGGTGCTGTATAAAAGACAATAGACCATCTCCTCAAGTTTTGCGGTTTTCGAAATAATTAAACAGAAATGAAGTAACCCGTCAGAGCTGCCACGCTGCCGTCCTTTCCTTCAGTTCATACAGTGCATATGTCCCGAACACGGCTGTTTCCTCGCTTGCACAGTCCCTCTGTAATTTGGACTGCAGTATTCTGGGTTATGAGACCGTACAATCTGGTACGTTTCACGGTCCATGTTGTCCTAAACCAGAACACCACAATTACAACTTTAACACCGAGAAAACTTCTAAATTATTTACCTCCCTGCTATATAAGACGGGAGACACCATTCCACATGCCCTGGTGAAATGTCTTCAATGCGCAACCTGATGAAGAGTGGGATGAGGGAGTGGCCTGGATTCATGTGACCAGTGGCGGGCTCTTGTGAACACGGTAGTGAACTTGTGTTACATGAAGGGTGAGAAATGCCTTGATTAGCTGAGCATCTAGTAGCTTGCGAGAAAGATTCTGCAAGATGAAATCAGTTCAGTGTGGGTGATTCTGATGTCTTTACTTTTCAATGCCACATGAAGGCGCTGGTGTTTATGTAGCCAGTAAACATTTACTGCCACTGCACGCAATATGAGGCAGAGGAAGTGACGCAGTGCTGCCACGTTAACGGCCAGTAAACACAAATGGTGAGATCAGCTTACAAACCCCGAAAATAACTTTGAGAGGACATTTGTCTCAAAACAGATTAAACCGAAGAATAAACACAAGACTTGCTCGAGAAAGTTATCAGCTAGCTCAAACTGGATAACGGATCTCTGCAAAAGTACAGGCGATATGTTCACGCACACTGAAAGAAACGATGTTGCTGGTTGTGCCTCATTTACGGCTTCATGAGACGTACTCCCATGGTCGCAGCCTGAAAAGGTCAAAATTTGGATCCTGAAATAATCCGGAAATTAAACCGTTTTTTGTTAACTAGTATTCTGCAAAAGTTAGAGACTAAATATGATCATTGTTGTACACATAGAGGGTGTGAGCGCTGAAATGGTTACTAAGCTGAAGGGGCACGACTGTGTGAAATGTGGAAACCCCTGCATTTGCATAAACATTTTTAGTTTATATTTGTAACAAAATATAATCTTTCTATTTATACTCTTATGCAATAAATAATTTCATTTAAACTTGTATTTTTTCTTTTATTACAAAATTTGAGTTCTCTGTTTTAAATCCAGGGTGACGCAAGAAAGCAAATGCTAGCGCAATTTCTGTGTCGCCAGCACCAGGAACATAGAAACTACTGTCTTGGGGCGACAACGGAAGGGTATGATCGACTGACGGGAATTGGTACAAATTTCGCCAAAGTCTGGGATAAAGCAACAGCTTCAACCAATATTAAAGTGGTACTTCGCACCACCGGTATTTATTTCTTCAACACCCTCAGTCACACCTAACTACGTGCCACGATTTTGTGACCCTGAGTGAGAAGGCCCCACCTAGCCGGGTACATGTGGCATATCTGCATCAACCGAAGGGAATTCCGATGAAGACGAGGACGCTGACGTGGAAGCAGATACAGTCAGAGGGCTTTCACAAAGGAACACCGCTGAATACTGAATTCATTTGGATGCATCGTGCCAATTCCTCCGGAAGTCATGACGGCGGCTGAAACCAAAACCTTCACCTGAAGACGGCCGCCAACAACGGATAAATAGAGAAGGCTCAGTCGTTCTGCTCAACCCCCCCCCCCGCTAAGTCTACGGTCCTTTTTTCGATATTACCTGCGAACGGGGTGAAGCGGAGGAAATGTGGGCTTGGACTTCGCGAAGAGCGCAAGTTCATGAAATCTGCGTTGGTCTGAAAGCACCAGATAAAAAAGAACTCATTCGCCCTGTGTGTGAGAAGCGATCTCATATTCTTTGCTTCAATCTCCGTCACAAATTGTTCTTGTGCCAATTTGAATTCCAGTCTTTTTCAACAACATGACAATAATACTGATCAGTATGGGGCACAGTCCAAATATTTGAGAACGACAGCAACAAATCAAAATTTGATTCAGGAGGAAAATAAGAGGAGACTGAACTCGAGTAATGCTTGCTACCACTCAATCCGGAAACTTTTGTCTTCTCGTCTGCTGCCCAAAAACATAAAAACTAGAATATATAAAACTATAATTTTGCCTGTGGTTCTGTATGGGTGTGAAACTTGGTCTCTGACATTAAGGTAGGAACGTGGCCTCAGAGTGTCTGAGAACAGGGTGTTGAGGAGAATATTTGGACCGAAGAGAGATGAAGTGACAGGAGGTTAGAGAAAAATTCATAATGAGGAGTTTCATAACTTGTACACTTCGCCAAGTATACTTAGAATGATCAATTCAAAGAGGATGAGATGTGCTGGGCATGTAGCACGAATCAGAGAGAAGATGAATGCGTATAGGATATTAGTGAGAAAGCCAGAAGGAAAGGGATCACTAGGAAGATCAAGACGTAGGTGGGTGGATAAAATTAAAATGGCCCTTAGAAATACAAGGTGGGGTGGTATGATCTGGATTGATCTGGTTCACGATACTGACCAGTGGAGGACTTTTGTGAACTCGGTAATGAACCTTCGGGTTCCAAAAAATATTGAGAAATTCTTGAGTGGCTGCACGACTGGCGGCTTCTCAAGAAAGGCTCAGCTCCAAGGTGCGATTAGAACAGGAGGATGTCAGACTGAGGGGCAGACTTCTTCAGCTGTGATTGCAACTATTTGTTTTCTGAAATGAATAAGATGGGTAGGACATGTGGAAGGAGATGTTGATGCCATGATCATGACGGTCACGGTAAGAAAAACAGAAAAGCAATATGAGGGCTTTCGTCAAACGGCTGTGAACAGATGTGATCACGAAATCTCAGTACGACGAAAATCTAGCGAGCACAGCGATTTCGCAAACTTCGCTCTTCTCTCAATGGTCCGAAACGAATTTTATCACGCTTATTTAGTGTTTCCGATTCAAAAGGCAGGGGGAGGGGGTGGGAACCGCACAGTGACCATGGCCATGAGCAGCCGTTACTATAAATGCAAACCGTTCTCCTGGTTCTTTGCAATCCACTCCAAGGCCAGCAGTTCGGCACCATGGAACACCTGAAGTTACTCACATTGACTTTCGTGATCGCCTTCAAAATCTGCATTGCTTCTTCGGTAAGTTGCTATAGAAAGCAATCTTCAGGCAACGCATCAAACATCGGTCGTACCTGCGAAGGCACGTCCCAGCCTGCTTTCCGTCTTCACAGAAAACATGGCTCCACCACGTGGTATGCATAGCGTTAATATGAAGGGGAGTGGCACCGCGTAGTCTGCTGGAAGTTCACCGACGTTTCCTGCATGTCTGCTTATTTAATATATTTTTGACCATGAAGATGAGGGAAATATATTCCTCCGAAACGCCAGTGAACTCCTACCAAACCACATGGCATTACATCCCCTCCTCGGTATTGCATGGAGTTTACTGAACTTAAAAATCACAAAGCATCATCACATAAAAGGAGCAAATTTCGTATTTAAACACAGAAATATAGAATTATATAACAAAAGCTGCGAAATTGTTTACGGCATTCCCAGAAGAGTCCATATATGGCCTTACGTAAATTATGCTTTGTAATCGGTCAATTTGAATTTAAATAATAATAATAATAATAATAATAATAATAATAATAATAATAATAATAATAATAATAATATGGCTGCAAATTTAAATGGCTGGGTAAAATCACGCAAACACTTCTCATGTCGGTGGGAAGTGAACACTGAACCGATGGCACATCATGCATTGAACAGGAAACCTTTCGCAAGAAAATCTGCGTGTATTCAACGACATGTTTGGTCCCCAATGCCTGCTGAAAATGGGATCCACTTAGCTTCCTAACAGTGACGTAAGCATGACGTCACTGTCTGATGATGGCGCAAACTGAGAGTCGTTTCGACACAGCACGGCAAGGGTGGATGTATGTACGGATTGTACCGTTGATGCTGGTGGCAAGTTGTATTTAGTCGTCCCAGGTTCTCTCACTTAAAACAGAAATCGTGCCACATGACGTGACCGTGTGAGATTGTTTCAGTTACTCCGCCGATAATTTGGGTTAAATAATAACGCTGCACAGATCACTGCAACCCACACGAGTCTTCTTAGCTTGTTGCAGCCTCCAGTAGTAATTGCCTGGTTACTCTCTTCTAACAAGGACTATTCCTCACACACTTATGGCTCACGAACTGAACTCCCTAACCGCCGACTCATGACTGTGTGCTCTGCCCACGGTTTCGTAGTCCGGGCTTGGGACCTTTTTTTAAGACTGACTCGTAATGGAAGTTGGTCCCCTTTATACAGCTTCAGTGAGGACCGCACAGAAACCACCTCTTCTTGCATTTGCTTTGTTGTAGTGTGACGTAGCCTTTGCAGCGTACCGCATAGAAAACACCTCTTCCCCCATGCCTCTTTTCTTGAGCTGCCTGTCACCGCAGTACCCATCTGTCACGTGACGATTACAGGGCCGTTCCCTAGCACCGGCCGTCTGTGCTGCTTCCACTCTTCTAGCTTTGAGCCCTCGTGTCACAATATTCTGTTGCGGAGATGAACGCAGGAAATAAAGGCACGTATACTATATTCTTACCACACAACGGACACGGAGAAGCAACATAACACAATTCGCAATAGATTTTCTGAGAATCTGGCCAAGTTCAACAGGAAACTGCGCACACTGTGGATATGTACAAGTAAGTGAAAATCGAACTAGACTAAAATAATATATTTAATTATTTCAGGACGAAATGCAAGAAATCGTGGACGCACAAACAAAGTGCCAGAAGGAACACGGCATAACAGACGGTAAGTATCACTACATACCCAAACAGAACTAGCCTTACCTTGTACACCAGGGGTCTCCAAACTTTTCGAGACGCGGGCCACATTAGGTAATTCAGCACTTTGAACGGGCCGGATAAAATGAGAAATTAATAATTCCAGGTATATGAGTTTTATTGAAAGCACATAATTTCATAAACTAAATACAAAGTACGTGGGAATAAATTATCGTATATTAATGACAACAGACAGTAGCAGCAAATGCTCATATTTTCATCACAAATTATAATAAAACAATTAATGTGAATGATGGAACTCTTTTTGCATTCTTAAAATCTGATTAAATTGAGGTTCAAATTTTGAAACGCTAATCACAAGTAGCGACTTTAAATGTTCATCGGATAAATTTGCCCTGTATTTCGACTTGATGTACTTCATCTGCGAAAAAGTTTCTTCACACAGATATGTCGTCCCAAAAATGGAGATAAATTTGGAAATTGCTCAGAGTTCAGAAATTTATAAAATTCGATCGAATTTCCTTCCTTGTAATTGTCTTTAATTTGATAATTTTCCTGCAGTTCAATAATTTCCATTTGAATTTGACTTGGGACATCTGCAGCATCACAGTCAAACGGATTTTGAAACAATTTTATTTCCTCAGCACTGGCATCCAAATCAGCAAATCGCTTCCGAAACTGTTCTTTCAAATCTGAGATGACTAAATTTGCAAACAAGGAGAGAAATTCAGCTTCACACTTTTTATGCAACTCTGCACGGTATATCATATGAACAAAGTTATAATTTTTCACTTGGCTTTCCAGAAGTATCAACTTTGCTCTGAATGCCTTGATAAGTGCAAATAAATCACAGACTAAGTTATTTTCACCCTGCAACTTTAAATCCAAATTGTTCATATGGTTCACCAGATCAGCAAAAAATGCTAATTTCCAAAGCCACTCGGTATCTGATAAAAGTGGTTGTGAATAACATTAATATTAACATAATATGGAATATCAATATACTTTAAACACAATCTTAATTAATGAATTTGAAATCTATGAACAAGTATTCCTTTACCAGTACTCATCGGAAAATTAGTTCAATTGGCGCATTTCTGCACAATTCTTTCACTGCCCGTAGTTTGGAGACCCTTGTTGTACACAAATGGAAACTTTTTTATCCAACTTGTCCTATCAAACACAGAATTAGTGTTTGTTCTGCTGACTATACAAGAACTTGATTTTGAGAAAACAGTACACTACAGAAGCTCGTAAATCTAGTCCGGATTAACAGACAGACAGACACAGGGTATCAGATCCGGCACAGACAGAATGACACACACACACACGTGTGCTTCCATTCTTCTACAGGTGAGCAGATGTAAGCACATAGTTCTGAATAGCCTGACGTACATTCGGTACAGTCAGCTGACATATCAGTTGGTGTGTTTCAACTCACGCTGAATGCGCGAGCAGTTAACTTGTGAACAGACACACACAGACAGTCGTGGCATCTGGCTACAGGAGGCGACATCATTTCGCCGACGCAAGTAACATGAGAGATGACGGCGGCATAGCTCAAGCGCTTAGTCGCTGGCTTCCCACCGCGGCTGCTCGGGATCGATCCCGAGTCTGGTCAAGTGGGATTTGTGGTGGACAAAGTGAAGCTGGGGCGGGTTTTCTCCGAGTACTTCGGTTTCCCTACCAATCTTCATTCCACCAAATTCTCCATCATCATAATCACCCGGGACAGGCTACAATAGGCCAATGAGTGGAAGCCGTGCCGAGTGAACCCAGGTGGACTCCACCCCCCACTAAGCGAAATATGAGAGATTGCCTACGCCTTTTTTGTATTTACAATATTTTTTCTGCAATAAAAAAAAGTAACATGAGATGGATCATCTTCAACTTCCCTGATAAAGTAATCGCTACTTATCTTTCTTCTGTGTCTGCAAGGTGCTAAGCGCCCTCCGCTTTCATGTTTATATACTAAATACCGCCACTGCGTTCCCACGCAAGGTCTATGCAGGTTTCAGAGACTTTACTTAACAACAGAACTGATCTTATAAGCCTAAATGTCTGCATTGTCTGTGACGTCACTACCAAATTTCTTTTTGTTTCAGAAACATTTATCGAAATACGGAATAGAGAAATGATCCTGGAGGACGAGTCCGATGAATCTATGAAGGTACAGAGCCTCTGCCGACCAGCAACATAACTAAGTATTATTGCATTTCCTGACATGCCTTGTTCTGTAGTATGATACTCATAAATTCGCTTCGAAAGTAGATACATGGTCCGTATTTAGTTCTGACATTTCTCTGGCGACTCTTCCATCATGGAGACACACGCGAGCTCAGGGTAAGTCAAGACCGTTCTCACAGCGAAACGCGATGTGGCAGAGTTCGAAAATAAAATGTTTTAATTGTAATTAAAAAAAAGTAAATGTATTCCTGTAACAGGCCGTGGAGGCACAGGGTTGTGAGATGTTGATGTCCCCACATTTTCTAGACAATCGGCTCACAGATGCCGGAAAGGTTGTCAGCCCTACGTGCCGGCCGCCCTTTACCCCCAAGAAGATTCCTGGTACTCATTTCTGTTAGAAGCTAAGTCGACCCCAGGGCCATAGTGCGGCTGGAAGGATTAGGTCAATTGGAAAAAATCAAATGACCTCATCGAGACTTGAACCCGCGACCTTCCGGCTTGTAGCATAGTGCCTCAACCAACTACGCTACCGCGTGCACCCCTTTTAATTACACGTACATTACATATTAGCAAAGGCCTAACTGGACTCCATATAGCTGCTGACACATCTGCTCATTAGGTTGTTGCGTACCATTGCCATTTCGTCTTGTATGCGATGAACCGTTTGAAGTTTTGAGTCGTAAACCACGGACATCAAGATGCCCGTGATGTCAGTCAGGCTACCGGGGCTACCGATCCACACACCAAACATAGTGCCACAAGGGAACGTTGCAAAAGGCTCTGTAGTGCATGCATCACGCGTGTTCACTGTCTCGCTATCACATTGTGGTCCTACAATGCGAACCTGTCCACGTGATCGTCCTCAGGCCCCGCACCAAGGTACATACTGCTGTCACTCCTCTGATAGATAACATTGTGACGTCTCAAATAGACGAAAATTTGGTTGCTACGTAAAATCATCCAGCCTGTGTGTATTCCTGCTGTCCACTCGCAGAACTGTACATTCTGTCCCCTTGTCAAGTCATTTCTGACTGCTTCTGTCATGCATCACACTGCAAAACAGTACAAAACTTCTGCGTACCAGAATTACACAGCCACTCCTGCTGATTCAAACCTAGCTTAGCGAACCTTGTGACGTAATATGAATTCAGTCATCGAAATAAACAGATTTGCTGTCCGACATTCTGAACTGGAGAATATTTCAGTGCGAATGCAAGTTTCTGAAAAGAAAGCTGTAGCCATTATTTTCACTGCCGACTAACCAATTCTTTCTTTACAATTTCAGTGCCTGATACAGTGTATGCTCGTGGGTCTTGGAATGGTAAGTACACGTCCCGACGTATTGTATCGGTTAATTTGCTTGTATGTTCAATGCCATTATCTCGTACGAAGGTCACATTCCGTCCAAATAAATGAGGCGTGCTATGCAAAATAACATGTAAATTACTATTTTGTACTTAATGAAATGTTTTTAATTAAGAGACGCACACTGTACTTGCTGCAAGCTGTCTGAATTCCAAAGAAATTAACAACTGCATAAGTTCACATGTCCCCTTCTATCAGCAAGTCAGTATGCCACGTATCGTTATACAAGTCGACAGTCCAGGACAGTTACTTCGGTAATTCTGAAAACATTATAATTTCCAGATAATATCGAAGCGAAGAGGCCTCTTGTGTAGACCGACAGAGGCAACTGCATAATGACGAGCTTCGTAACTCGTACTCTTCGCCAAGTATAATTATAATGTTGAAGTCAAGGAGAATGAGATTAGCAGGGCATTTAGCACGAATGGGGAGAAGAGGAATGTATATAGGATATTGGTGGGAAAGCCATAAAGAAAGAAACCACTACGAAGACCAAGACGTAGGCGGGTGGATAATTTTAAAGTGGATCATGGAGACGTTATTATTGGGTGGTATGTGCTGGATTAATCTGGCCCAGGATAGGGACCAGTGGAGGAGAAATCTTGTGAACACGATATTGAACCTTCGAGGCCCATAAAATATTTGGAAATCCTTGAGTAGCTGCACAACTGGTGGCTTCTCCAGGAGGGCTCAGCTCCATGAAGTTAGTTAGTCACGTGGTTTGCCGCGCCATAGCTCAAGCGGTTAGTCGCTGGCTTCCCACCGCGGCTGCCCGGGTTCGATCCCGGGTCTGGTCAAGTGGGGTTTGTGGTGGACAAAGTGGCACTGGAGCGGGTTTTCTCCGAGTACTTCAGTTTCCCCTGCCGATAGTTTTTCAGCAAACCTGGACACTACAACACTAACTCAAGCATAACTTCCACTATGGCTTATTACTGTCATCTTCTGATATTCATAACTAACTCCCGAAATAATGAAAAATATCAAGCATTATCCTTCACAAATATGAACAGATAAACTGTGCGTTACACTCGTAACGTTTGTTCTGTGTGTCTTCCTCAGCTAAAGGACGGTCAGCTTGATGTGAATGCGGTGATGAACATCGCAAAGCCATTACTGGATAACATCGAGCAACAAGGCAGGGAAGTGGATGAAGAAAGTCTGAGGTCGGACATCGCGAACTGTACGGATACAAGTAAGTGGTGTGCTGATCAGCTGAAACGCCGTGATTGGATAAACGGAGCAGCAAGTGACAGTCTCGTAGTTTCTGATGAAACCGATTACTTCCGCATACGGTTGCTTCCCCTGTAAATGCCACAGTACGTAGTGGCTAAAACTTTAAGGAATGAACGTCACTCACATTAAGAATTTCAAGTTCATTCAGAGATTGGGAACGGCGATTTGAATTCATCCATATAATCTACAGCAATAAAGAATGATTATAATTACTATAGGAGTTTCCTTGGCCTACAGATGGAGACCCCGACAGCCTGTAGTTGCACATCGCTTTAACAGCCGTGTGTGTATATAGGTAAAAGTACGAATAAATTTCATAATACTTTTGTGTGTTCTCCAATAGGTCCGTTATTTTATAATATTTATTCATAATGCTCCTCCCAATGTAAGATTGCGATCGAGAGCAGTAAAGACTGTTCAGCTGTTTCCTCCGCCCCATAACAATGAAGCAACCTCCTTCTTATATCTCTGCTTTCTATATTTGCAAACTCTTTTTTCAGCTGGGCAACCTACCTTTACCAGAAAGATGAGTGGAACTTGCCTGGGAAATAGCGGAGCCGAAAATGTTTCTGTTTCGCCCCTAAAATGTACCCCCACTAACCTCCCCTCCATTTTCTCCTCCCTCTCCTATTCATATATATATGATGTGTGTTTTGAGGTTGCTAAATTACTAACGCACGCCGGAGTTTTTCAGTGAGCGGTACTAAACGGAAACCAGTCAAACATTACACAAAAAGAAACAAAGTTATTTCAGTGTTTGTTGCCCAAAAAGTGAAAGCAAGAGTTTGTTAGCACGTAATATCATGTTGAAAAGCAATATTATGTTCCAGGCCAGAAAGGGGAATGCACTGGCGGTTATGAAATGTGGAAATGTCTTCACGGCATAATGTCAAACGTAATGGTACGTATGAGAACATATTTTGGTTGGTAAATGATGACTTGTGATCAATATAGGAAGCGGCCTCAGTAGTCTAGGGGTCCCGGGAGGGACTTTAAGCCGTGGGTCCCGTGTCGTAGATTTACGGCACGTAAAAGAACCTCATGTCTCTAGGAGACCCCGCCCAAGTAGTTTCCAATGCCTCTGGTAGATGATATAGCATCGGGTACAACTGCCAGCCTCGCTGGCTGAACGGGGCTGATAGCGAGCACCAGTATCGGCAGGGTATGGCGACAGCAGAAATTAAAGGGGGACGCACAATTGACCAATAACTGGTCTAAGTGCATGGGGAAACCCACCCCCTCTAATATAATAATAATAATAATAATAATAATAATAATAATAAAGACTGGAATAGAGAACTTGGCTTGCCTGAAGCCGTCCTATTGAGGTAGTCTAAGTTACAGGGTGATTCTAAATTACTGTGGGGGTTTCCGTGGCTTATAAAGGGAAACCCCGACAATAATTTAGAAACATTCTGTACTCTGCCCAAGTCAATGTGAATATAGTTGGCATCGGTAAGATTAGCAGGGTTCCGTCACTCGGGGAAATGCTTCATTAAGTGATGATTATGATGACACGGTATTATCTTCACTAAGTAACCACGATTACTTACAGTTATCTGCCCCGGAACCAAAGTAACCGCACAAACACACAGAGCCAGCTTCCAGAACATGTAGACGCAGCGAAACCTGCAGGAAATACGTAGAAGTGTACATCTGCGGACCGATGCTGAACGACCAGAAACTGACACAACGGCTTTTCGGCTGCTGTAATACTGGAATTTATTGTTACCGAGTATTGTGAATTTCCATTCCACTGTTAGTTCATGTCAGTGAGCAGTAGCAAATAAAGCACAATATTGAGACTCGGTGTAAGTAAAGAGTAGTACATTCTGGAATGTGACGCCGTATAGTTTGGTATATTTCACAGACGTTTCGGAGGATCGTCCTGCCGCCTTCAGCATCAAAAAGTGAGTCAGGCAGTACGCTTCTCCAAAACGGTACCGGAATCCTACAAGACCACTCGAGTTACATCCCAGAAGATTGTCCTTGCCACTGATACAATCCTAAGTCTTCCTCAGTGTAAACAGTTATCCCTTTTACATATGTAGGTCACTCCAAAAGTAACACAGAATATTTAAAAAAAACAGTTTTTATTCTACAGCTTTAATATTTGTAAGGTGCATAGAAGGATCCTTCTCGCTTGTATTTAAATTTAATTCAACCCGTTCCCACGCGTAGCGCTGTCATAGCACTCCCTCAAAATGGCTGCTGCGCTTGATGTTCGTCAAAAGCAACGTGTTGTTATAGGCTTCTTGTGTTGAGAGAATGAGACAGTGGGAAACATTCACAAGAGATTCAACAATATGTATGGAGATGACGCTGTCGATCGCAGTACAGTTAGTCGGTGGGCATGCAGATTATCTGGTGAAAGTGGGCATACCAATATTCGGGATTCTCCTCGCACCGGCCGACCGCACACCGCTCAAACACCTGACAATGTGCAGCGTGTTAACGATATGGTTTTGGAGGACAGAAGTGTGACTGAAAGAAATGTCAATCCAACTGGGAACTGGGGAAGCAAGTGTGTGCAGAATATTGAAACAATTGTGGTTGAAACATATTTATGCATGGTGGGTTCCGAGGATGTTGACAGATGCCCACAAAGAAACCCAAAAAAACTGTGTGCAGTGAACTCTTGGCACAGCATGAGAACGGTGGAGTTGACTTTCTTGCGAGAATTGTGACGGAAAATGAAACATGACTGCACAATTTTGAACCAGGAACATAGCGGCACAATGAAATGGCAGCATGCGAACTTGCCCACGAAAAGAAATTCAAATCTGCGCCTTCAGCAGTCAAAGTTATGGCTACCGTCTTTTTTTATTCGGAAGGGCTTTTGCTTGGGACATCATGCCACAAGGAACCACCATTAATTCTGACGCATATGTGGCAACCCTAAAGAAACTTCAAGCTCAACTGAGTCTTGCTCGACCACATCGGCAGAAACAGGATGTTTTGCTGTTGCACGACAACGCCCGAACACACGTCAGTCAGAAAACCAAGGACGAGATACTAAAACTTGGATGGACAACATTGCCACACCCTCCTTTTAGCCCTAATATTGCACCCTCTGATTACCATCTCTTTGGTAAACAGAAGGAATCCCTTCGCGGAACAAGATTTGAAGATGATGATGCCCTCATTACGGCCACTGAACGTGGCTCAGACGCGCTGGTCCAGAGTTTTACTGTGTTGGCATACAGGCCCTAATTCCAGGTTGCGTAAGGTAGTTGAAAGGGATGGAGATTGTGTGGAGAAGTGATATTTTGTTCCTAAATGATATATAAACATACTGTATAAGTAGTAAAGGTCTAGAATAAAAATTTAATTTTGAAAAAAAATGTTGTATATTACTTTTGAGGTGACCCTCGTATGTCAGTACAATGTTATACCTCATTACAAAAGAGTGCCGCGTAATTAATGCTGAGGAATTAGCTAAGTGAACTCGTAGTATTATTCACTGCTACCATACAAAATGATCGACGGTAATACTTCAGTCTTGTACTACGGAGGCACTCGGTTCGAATCGAGGCATGAACGCCGGCTATCCCGACTGACGTTTCTCTTCGTTATCCCCAGGGGGATAGTATCCCGAGTAGGCCACTACCACTTCCTTCAAAATTCTTCCGAAATCATACTACTTCAATCATCCGAAGCCAATTAGTTCAGCTGCTGTCTGCCCCCCTCCCCCAGAGTACTCACTGCCGAACCCACTTATCACTAAGGGAAGTCATGTCGTCACACGTCTCCAAATGTGGGGCGTGCTGAATGCTTCTGCATATGATCTACTGGGAAAACTTGAACATAAGGGAACATTTGGGAGACCTAGACATAAATGGTAGGATAATATTAACCAGATGACCTCATAAGCCTCTTTTCATATTTGCAAAATGAGGAAAGTAGGCTAAAAATTAATGTTATGGAAGCAGGGCGTGAGAATTTGACTCGGTATATGGACCAGCCTGTGTCGCTGTGGTAATGGGTCCCATAAAGGTTGTGCTATTTCTTGACCGGACGCGCAGCTAGAAGCTTCTCAAGAAGACCTCTCCTCCAGTGAGGTTTTAAAATTAAGTGATTTCCTACTTCCTTGACTGGGCATCAATTCATGACTCCCAAACAAAACACTGCATCTGAATTTTTCTTGAATTCAATATCTTATTCATACAAAATGTATTCTCTTATAACAAGTCACTGAACCAGAAAATCCTAATCACAAGACCAGCACGCAGTCCGCGACCGCAAGAACAAAATGTGTGTCATTACATAAAATACTTGCCGGAGAATCAGGAAACCTGTACTGCCTTTCAAACAGAAAATAAAATGTTCGCGTAAGAAAGAAAGACAACGGGCCTGAGAATTTGATAAGGAAATATTTTTAATTCTACGGGTAAATGCTAAGCAAGATGTCTTGGGCGGTGATGCTTTTGTCCTCTATATGGTAGCATTCCCTTCGAATTTCAACTGGGACATTTGACAGAGATTTTTCCTTATTTTTCTCTGTTCTGCCACGAAATGACAGAATGGTACCTTGGTTAAGTCACGAATGTTTCCTTCCAAATCTGTTCCAATTTATTTATCATCCTCCCACTGAAC